CACCAGAACAAATCCAAAGTAAAACCCCAATAATTCAATTCTCTAACTGGAAAATTGTAATAAATTTATACATTTTCCACATATAGAATCTACTTTATTGGGGGAGTCATCTTATAATCAAAGTCATCTTCTATTCAAGTAAATACAGTACTCCGTCCATATCCATGTGATGGATAAGAAAAAAGGAACATCTTAATCATTACAACTACACTGTATCCTCTCTAACAACCTAAAACATACTGTAAAGGTTTTAATTTTTTCCCCCCTCCTTTTTTCCCCTTCTTTTTTCTTGTGGTCCTGCAAAAGAAGTTAATTGCATATCTCAGTTTGTGAAACACTGATTAAGTCTACTACGTTGCCTGATTGGGGTGCTGAAGCATCACTCAGAGGGTAGAGATATGCAGCAAGGCTGATACGTACATTAACTGCATTTCCTGTTGCAGTACCAGACACTGCCTGTCTATCTTAATTCTGAGTTAATAGAGATCTGAGGTAGTTAATTGACACTGACACCACTTCCACAATACACAATGATGGAGACATGATAGAGCCCAAGAGGTTTTGCTGCAACTAAGCTACCAGGTCTACCCTCCTGGCCTTTGGTTCCACAAGGCCTGCAAGAAGAAGAGACACAACCAGCAGGCTGTGAGAGAATCTCTACCAGGGGGTGGAAGCAAAGGAGAGGGCAGGGAAGCCTTAAGCCAATGGTTCTCAGCCAGGATGCCATGAGATCCTTTTAAAAGATACTGTACAAGCGCTAACACAATTCACAAAATTAATCCAGAGTTTTGAAACAAGAACCTATTGCATCACAAATATTCTGACTGGATGTGTTCTTTCTGATGACTTTGCAACAGAATTGCTTTATTATTTTTCTATAGTAAAAAATGAGTGAAAACTGAGAGCTGGCATTTTCCAAAACATGCCTTAAGTCAAAAAAGTTTGCGAACCACTGTCTTGCATGCTGTACTCCACTTCAGTAACTAGTATAGGGGAGTTACTCTCACTCCCATATGGGAATAATCACACTAATGCAACACACCTTCATACAAGTATATCTATATCCATGGGGGGCGGGGTAGCCTGCTTTAAACTACACAAATAGAGTTAAAAAAGTATCAAGCACAAACAAGGCCAAAGAGGGGGAAAAAGGTCAGTGGGTTCCTGGCAGGGAAAAATAATGAATAATGTGGGTTGATTTAATTCTGTTCTAATTGGACAGACTTTGGGGAAGAGATTATAAAAACTTCATTATGGGACATAACTGATAATTAAACCATTTAGTATTTTAAACTTGACACCAGCTTTGAGAACATGGAAATGTGGCTTAGTATTTAATACTCACTGCCTTGCGTGTTCTATCTTCAGAGAAAGAAGCAGCCTCCAGTTCTTTGCACAGAGTAAAACTGATGGAAGCAAGTCTGATTTGTTTCTAAAAAAGAAAAGCAAGGAATAAGCACCAGGTTCACTATAACAGAGACAACAAATTTGTTATATTTATTAACAATACAGAATAAAGGCTTTTGAATATTCAACAGATTAGCTGTCAGCATTTTGTAAGCTTCTTTTGCTCTTCTCTGAACTACAGTGAAATTTGTTTCATCTGTTAAATATTCCCAGTCCCCTTTTAGAAAAGTAGAAGTCTCCACATTTCCTTATTCTCTCCTACTAAAGAAATTGGCTACATTTTCGTATTTTGATTACAACAGTATCCAAATACCCTATGAACATATGATCTATATATCTCCTTTTCTAGCTCCAGAAGAGTTTATTTTATTCTACTACACTTTTTGTTTGAGTTTGTAGCTTTATGCTACCGAGACTGGCCCAAAGGAATATAAGCAAAGAATAACAAGTTACATTCAGTGGGATTTTTAAATCACATTTTTGTTTTTAACAACTCTGTTATTTGGAAGTTTTAGAAGCTAAAATATATGGGTTTTTATTGTTTATTCTCTTTGGTAATTACCTAGAGAAGGGAAAGTTAGCTACTATTTACATGAAGCCTTAACTGATACAGTTGTTTAAAAACATTCACTTCAGGGTCTCTGGCTCAAATCCAGCTCAGGTAGAGTCAACAGCTGTTCAGAGACCTGTGTTAAATGAATTGGGTATCACAATATTTCCTAGTAAAGAGTGCCCATCACAAAAAACTCCACAACTTGCTATTCCTTGGAAGGAATAGGATTCCTTAACTAAACTGACTTTAAATTGACATGAATCCCTCCATAATAAATTTTAATTGTCTTAACCAGTAGTGCTCAATATTCTTCCTCAGCGGGCCAGATAGGCAGTGCTCAATGATCACATGGCCCTTCATGGAAACAAGCTTGACCCATCTCTACAGGGAAAGGAGGAATGGCCCATCCCTGACCCAGAAGTGTGTGTGTGGTGGGCAGGGGCACTACCCAACCCGGCCTGGCTTCAGGGGGTAGGAGGGCAGGGGGTGGGTTAGGAGGTATGGCTCACAATTTTGCAGGGGGAAAGGAAATCAATGGCTACCACTGCCAAATTTCTGGATCTGTTGAGAGCACTTTGGGAGACTCAGTGTCTATTGTAAATAATGCTTATAAATAGTTCTTTAAGTAGGACATCTATATGCCCTTTTCACCCCAAGGGCAGATCCTAGTTTAGGTGTGATCCTTGGTTCCCCAAGATGTAATGTTGTGCTGTATTGGGCCAGTGCTGTCCCAGATTCAGAGGATAATTTTGTAACTGTTACAAACGTGGCTGACAACCTGCTGAGGAGTGAAATCTTGCCCGAACACTGAGCAAAATACAAAATGTTACGTGAATGGAAGGGTAAATGACACAAATGATCGTTAGTAACTTTCAGTAACCTTACAAAGTCCAAAATTATTTTGTTTTAGTAGGTACTCTCAGATCCGCGCTTTGGAAGGAGATAGTTAATGATGGCTGGCCTGTCTTGGAAACAACTTCTACTTAACCAGGTAAGCATTTCTAACAGTAGGAAAGGTTCTGCTAATAAGAATGTTCTGCACATTAGCTGGACTCTTTCTGTTTAAACTGAATGGCTAAACTGACACTATGAGGTGGAGACTGAAATGATCACAGTATGAAACTTGATTGAGACTCAGAGATTATGAATGGAAGTAAAAGTAAAATTGTAGGAAGTTGCACAAACACTAACCACCAAGATCGCTCCAGGTAATACGCCTGGATAGGAACCTCATTTACAGAGATTCTAGGATTTTAGTCACAAGTGCATTTTGGACTATGAATGTACGGGGAAAGGGAAATGACAAAAAACAGAGATTCTGGCAATTCTGATCTCCATCCAGTAAGTCTCATGATCCAAAAAAACCCTAACACAATTTGGCTCTTTTGATGGACAAAATATATTATTTTCTGGATACTATCCAGTGAGCTTGTGAAAAAGTATCATCCTTTACTGTATCCAGATGGTAAAGGATCAAACTAGTCAGTTTCATGACTATATCTGAATGAAGTAAAATGCTGGTTTCTTAACCAACTCTGAGCTAGACAACAAGTATGATTCTTTGAATAAGTTATTTGGAGCCTAGTGGGATGTGGATACTTTTGTTAATTTTACACAGTCCAAGCACCTCAGCAATATTTACAGCTTAAGTTTGTAAAGTATGCTGGTATCCTTTAGGCCAGGGGCATGGGCAGATCTAGAATTTTGAAAAGGGAGGGTGTAGATAGTGAAGTATATTATCACATATAAAAACACACATTTTTCTGCAGTTAAAAATAAACTGGAAGCTTTATTAATATGCTAGCAGCCTAGGGCTGTATTATTCAGATCCAAGCAAAAACAGGTATGGAATGAGTTAAAAGCAATCTTCAAGGCTGTGAAATAGGAGATTCATTACCAGGAGTAGCTAACAAACAGCAGAATTGCAGAACAAAGGATAGCCTGATTGGCAGAACATCAAGACCGTTACAAGAAGCAAGGGCCATAATCAACCATGGAATGAAGAGTTTGGAAGAGATAAGGTAGATTTTAAAGAGTTATGAAGTCAATTGACTCCCTCAGCACTGCCTGACTAGAAATGCTGTATGTCCATATTAATTCTACATTAAAACACGTACGCCCCAAGATACTGATTTGCCAAAATAACATTTCAGATAACATATAGAAATAGCTGGCATGGGATACAATTCTCTCTATTCCCTGGCAGAAGACAGTGAAATAACGCAAAAGTAGTGGGATAGTGGATTCAACTGAATATTAGAAAACCAACTTAGAAAATCAAGAAAAAATAAAAATAAAAGTAAGTCAATTTCAGAATATTCACTTTCTATTAACTATCGTACTGGGAAACTTCCAACATCCAGAATCTCCTAAGTCTTAATAGGTTAAACTGTACAAAGGAAGCACCACTTGACCCACCACAGAGAGTCCACCAACTTCTGGGTGTGAAACACAGCAGTTATTTAAATATTCAGGACAGTAAGTGACTGCTAGATCCATAGAATAACTTAAGACCTGTCTCACTCCATAGACAGCTCCTCCAGCAGTACAACATCCCCTCACAACACCACTCCAGGAAACTTGCACAATACTCAGAGGGAAGGCCACTTACAAGCATCAGAAATAATACTTCAAGCAAGAGAAGCATATTCTTTGAGGTCCTTCCATCTAATAGTTGATTCATCCCACCCAAACTTTCATCTGTGTCTGGATCACAACCAGAAGTAATGCTACCACTCATGGACAAGTGGTACCCAACCTTTTCACTCAGCTGGCTGGATAGACAGTGTCAGGTCCATTGGCAGGCAGGATCCAGCCACTTGGCTCAATTTGGCACATGGGATGGACACAATAGGGGTCTGATCTGCAGAGACCTGCCCTGATCCAGCCAGATGAGGGGACAGAGAACAGTTCAGCCCTGAGCTGGACATGCAGGGGGTGAGAATGACCTGGTCCCAATCTGGATGTATGGAGAGGGGGTAAGGGCAGAGCAGTGCCAATCCAGATGTGCAGGGGCAGAGTGGCTTGATCCAGCCCCATGAGGGGCAAGCCTGGGGCATGATATGGCCTCGCAGCAATGGCCCAAGTGGAGCTTCCACCACACCCCTGACACCAAATCTGTCAACCCATGGAGATCCCTGCAAGCCAGATGCTATAGTTCTGCAACCCAGATTTGACCTGCAGGCTGTGGGTTGAGCATCCCTGAAGTACATTCATTCAGTGATAATCACAGTTCAGACATTGTGAGGAAGACAACTCAGGCCATTCAAACCTGAAAACTTACTTTCCAGTACACCAACCTTTTATATACTGCTTTAGACCTCGAGATCTTACCTTGAATCTTATCAGAAAATGGTTGACAATATAAAAACTACACTCTCTAGGAACTCCACTTCAAATGTTCAATTCCACATGTAAACAAGCATATATTCATTAGAGCAGGGGTGGCCAACCTATGGCACATGCGCCATACATGATGCAGGCAGGCTGTGCATGTGGCACACTATAGGTGACGAAGGGGACAAGCAGCAAAGTACAAGATCAGAGACTAGAAAACAGCAGAAGATTGGGCAGGTAATACAGGGTAGGGAGCAGAGCAGCAGATCAAGCAGGGGAAGGAGAGTGGCACTTAGGAAGGGTTCAGGGTTAATTTGAGGCACACCGGCCAAAAAATTTGGCCCCCACTGTGATAGAGGAAGTAATGTGTACATGGCATGGAGTTGAGCATGAAGACTATAGGTCTTTGCGAGAAAAATTAAAATGAAAATAAAGTTTTGTATCAGAACACACAGTGATATCACTGTATCCAAGAAGAGGCATACCACATATGAAGATTGCATTGAGAGCAAATAATTACCATCAAGACTTTAAAACTCCATTCCTGAGAACTATACACTTTAATTGGGTATGTGAATAAGCCATCTAAATATGATTAAAAAAAACTGATGTAGTTATGTAACTGTGCCTGAAGACAGTTTTGGCATCTTTGCTGCTGCTCTCAGCTTCACCAAACTATAACAGCATAAAAACTAAGCAGTATCACCAGTTATCCCTGCAGCTATTCCAACTTCTATAGGCATAACTGAACAAAAATAAAAATCAACTTAATTTCACTCTGGTTCTTGGAGTTCTCCCTCTAGCAGTAGAGGAAAATGCTAGACAGTATCAAAGAAATGTAGAGTAGGGGTTAAAATAATAGAAACCGTCCATCCTTGTACTAGCCATTAATTTCTAGCCCAAAATGAATAAAATACAAAATACTTCCCCTTTTTGATAAAGGAACTGAGGAGCACTTGCAAGCTGCATATGTGTAGAAGCAGCCAGGGTGTTTTTCCTTCCAACAAATATCAGATTAACAGATATCAGATAAAACATTTAAACTCAATGAATTAAGAAGCCATCCTTAAAAGTGTTTACTGGCCAGTGTGCACTGATGAGCAATGGCGTCAGTCTGATTCCTTATGAACACATGC